CCGGAAACAATGAAATATCTATTAAGAGTTGGATAAGTAAATTATGCTTCCTTTCCATATGGAATACTATAAAACAGTTAAAAAGAGGCAACCCTACATGCAGCATGTAAGTAAGCTCCATGAATAAAGGAATTATCTTTTTTTTTCATTAATATATTCCCAAATAACTAGGGTTGTACCTGGTACATAGTGGGTGCTCAAGAAGTTCTTACTGAACAGGACACTTGAGTGGTTCAGTTGGTTAAGCATCCAACTGTGGCTCAGGTCATGTTCTTATGGTCTATCAGTTCGAACCCCGTGTTGGGCTCTGTGCCGACAGCTTTGATCCTGGAGCCTGCATTATATCTGTGTCTCCCTCTCTCTCTCTGCCCCTCCCCTGCTCACACTCTGTCTCTGTCTCTCAAAAATAAGTAAGTGTCAAAATTTTTTTTTAAAAAAAGTATTTACTGAATAAATGAATAGGGAATATTTGTTGCATTTCTTAATGCAAGGTACAAGACAATGTACATATAATGTGGCCTCATTTATGTGACTAATAAAGATATATATGCATGAGTACATATTTCATAAGTCTAGAAGTATACATAAGAATCTGGCAACCATAAAGAAGAAATGGAGGCCGGTAGTTAGGGAGGGAAGTGCAATTTAACCTCATTGTATTCCTATTTATAAATAAAATAACATTCCCCAAGGGAAGAAAAGCAAATATCAACCCAAAAATCAATAAGGAATTAAAGAATGCCCATGAGAAAGAAAGGACAAGATATGAATAGGCAATTCACAAAAGAAGAAAGAGAAATTATCAATGTTCAAACTAAACAAAATTAATGCTAATAAAAAGCAACAAATGAAAACTTTTTTTTTTTACCTATCAAATCTGTAGACTAAAACATCCTCAAAACACAAAGTTGGAAAGGGTAGAGGGAAATGGGCACAGTTATTCACTGCTGATGGCAGCGTAATTTGGTATATCCTTTCTGGAGGGTATTAGGCCTCAAGAATTTGTAACAAAATGCACAATAAAGTTAGTTAGATATGTCCCTTACATTTAATACAAGCTATCCAACTACCAGGAATCAAACAAATGTAATGGCTGTTTATACAGAGATTCAAAGCAATGTAGCTTGTGTGTGTGTGTGTGTGTGTGTGTGTGTGTGTGTATACACACACACATATGTATATATACAAACATATACACACACAAACATATTAAATATATATACTTGTCTACCACTGGAAGACTAAGTAAATTTTAGTATGTGTATTCAATAAAATTATGCATACATTTAAAATTATTTATCTATATGCTTTTGGATTCGGAAAACTGCTCAAAACATGTCGAGAAAAAGAAAACAGGTCAGAAGAGAAAACAACAATCATTCACATTAAAAAATGAAGAGAAAAATATATGAAACTTCAGCAAATATAATACTTAAAGGTTAAACATTAGAAGTATAATCATTTAAATTAGAAATAAAGTAAAAGACAAGAATGGCCATTATCACCAGTAATATTCAAGAACTTAGTAGCTGTCCTGGCCATTATTATATGAAGAGAAATTAAATAAACTGCATAAATGCAGACTGCAAAGGAACAAGGCTCATCATTTACACAATATGATTGACCACCTAGGAAATCTAAGAAAATCACTGAAAAAATAGTATTACAATAAATAGAAGAGTTTAATAAGGGGCCAGATATAAGATAAATGTATAAAAATCAATTGCTTTCTTTTATGTGCAATGACTACTAAATGTCCCCTATATATCATCAACCAAAACTATAAAATGATTAAGCATAAACTTAAGCAAGAATATCCAAGATTGTTCTTATGAAGTAACAATCCAAACCATCACCAAAGGATTAAAAAAGATGCCAAATTTCCCCCAAAATTAATGTAGAAATTCAATGCAATCCCAACCAAAATCCAAAGGAATGTTTTATAAAGGAAATTGACAAATTTATTCTTAACTTCTTATGTGAAACACACATAAGCACACTCCCCCCTCAATAATAGCCGAGAAATTTTTGAAAAATGAAGATCAAGTGAGGAAGACAATTGTTCTACCACAGTATATAGTTATGGAGATTAAACAGTATGTATATATAATTATAAACTTCATTAAGATGAAATAAAAGACAAAGTTAAAACATACACAACTCACCAGGATAAAATATCTTCAACTTTCAACTGATTAATAGCTATATGCATATATTTAGTGATTTTATATATACAGCCATCAGATAGATTCATTATGTATATAGTCATTATATGTCTGTACTATAAATAAATTACTGATAAATTATAAACAACCTATTTTAAAAATGAGTAAAGGATATTAATAGGCACATAGCAAAGAGGAAATTAAAGTGGCCAATAAACATAAAACAAGAGGAACAAATCTCTTTTTAAGTTTTCAAATCAAACCCATAAGATTTTATTGTGGTTTTTGTTCACTATAGTGGCAACTTTTTAAAAGACCCATAATGTCACATACTGTGGAGAAGTGGATAGATATATTCTGGCACCGTCACTTAGGACAGAGACTATCCATATCTACTTACTCTTGAGATTTCTAAACTAGGTGACCCAGAAATCATACTTCTGTGAAAACAATCTTAGAAAAATTTGCAACAAACTTAATGTTCATCAATACTATACATCTATTAAATAAATTGCTGAGGATTCTATATAATTTAAAACAATAAGGATGATTCTATTTTCATTAAAACTTTTAAAACATATGTTCCAGTTTCTACTGCTAGAATGAATCCTCCCGAGGCTAGTGACTTAAAACAACTAGAATTCAGACCAGACACCATAAAACTGGCTGGTCTCTACTCCATCAAGTCTGGAGCCTCAGCTGGGAGGACTCAACACCTGGAAGCTATTCACCAGCGGGGGCCCTTGACTAGAGCACCTCCATGGGACCTCTTTACTGAGGCTTCTTGATAGAATGACAATGGCTTCAGGGTAATCCTACTTTACATGGTAACTCAGGGCTCCAAAAGTAGGTATTTTCATCAAACAATGGAGAAACTGCCTTGCTTTTCTGACCTAGCTTCATGAGTTAGACAGTGTCATTTCTGCCACTTTCTGTTGTCACAAGCCTGCTCAAATTCAAGGAGAGGGGATATGGTGTCTCCCTCTCAATGTGAAATCACATAAGCATGTGAAATGGGAGACACAGTGGTGACCATCTTTTTGAAAATACAACCTGCCACAACATATTAGAGAAGAAAGCGAATTGCAAAGTATCTATAGTCTGATGTCATCTATATATTAAAAAACCTTTGTGTATCTGCATGCAAATGTGCATAAATGTGACTGGATAACTATGCATGGTGAATATACAGAAGATCTTTTCAAAAGATATACCTCATACTGTTAACAACAGTTAGCTCCAAAGAGGGGAGTGAGATTACACAGTTGGAGATGGAGGGAACCATTCACTTTTCTTCTAATGGGTTGAGACTCTGCAGTTAGTTGCAAGGTGAGATGTGCAAAGAACAAGTAGTATGTCTGGAAACTGGAAAACTGCACGCAAGTAGAAAGGGGACATGAGACATGAATTGTTGCCAGCAAACCCTCCCAGCTAAATTTCTAAAAAGCATGATAAGATACCAGATGATCAAATGTCAGATTCCACTGACGGAGGGGAAAACATCAAAATGGATGGCCTAATACTTGAGCCAGGCAGTTGAATCTGTGGCTAATACTGTATTGGTAACAGAGATGCGATGTTAGCAACACATGAGCTTCTGTGCTTTGTTTTGTTTTCTATCTTTAGCTTTCCAGCAAAAAGTACCTTTTATAAACTATAGTTTGCTCTCAACTGTAATAACAAAAAGAAAAAGCTATTTCCTAGTTACGCAGATATGTAGAAACACAAGGACGTCTCTTTTCACCAAGTGCTACCCCAAATCTACGTTCAGATTGTGGGTGGAACTAGGATTGAGAATAAAAGAAGCATGGTATTAGGGTGGGATTCTCTTTCTGAATTTGACCATTTTCAACTAAAATTACTGAAGCTCCTTTTTGTATGTAGACCCGGACTTTACTAGTTTATTATAAAAGTTCAGATTCAATAACGTTTTATAGTGAACACCAGAACTTACTATAAAACTACAGTAATCAGGACAGTGTTATATTAGCATAAGAATGACGTTATGGACCTAAATAGCCCAGAAATATTCCCACACTTACATGGTCATTTTATTTTTGATGAGGATTCCCAAACAATCCAGTGGGGAGGGAAAAGCCTCTTCAATAAATGTGTAGAAAAACTGTTTATACATAGAGGGGGGAGAAGAACCTTGATCCTTACTTCATACTGTACACAAAAATTAATTTGAGATGGATAATGAATATACTAAAAGTTAAAACTATAAAGTTTCCAGTCTAGAAAAAAAGCACAGGACAATATTTTTGTGACCTAAAAGACAGGCAAAATATCTTAAAGAAGATAGAGAAAATAAAAAAGTTAAAATAAAAAGTGGCTAAATCTAACTTCAAAATTAAAAATACTTCTTTTAAAGACATTGCTACAGAAATTAATAGACTAGCCACAAACTAGGAGAAAACTGCTGTAAAGCATACATCTCATAAATCAATAGTGTCTAGACTATAACAAGCATTTCTATAATTCAGTAATAAAAAAACAAATAAACTCAAAGAGAGCACAATAGAGAAACAAGATCCAAGTGATTCTCAGTATAGAAGAACAACCAGATACTTGAGGAAAAAGTCACTCCAATACCATCACCACCCTCATATTTTATCCAAGCTCTGAATACAATGAAAATATTATTTAATATTTCAAAAGTAAAACATTAATTGGCATACATACATGCTCACTAAAAAGGAAATCTGATATAAAAATAAGCATTTCCTTCTATCCATTAATCTCATACTAATTAACTCTTTAAAAATTATGGGTAATAATAATTCACACACACAAAAAGCTGAGTTACATATAATTATTTCTTTATTTCACAGCCTTTTTAAAAATATAAACCACTAAGTAGTTTGAAAAACACACAAGGAATAATCATTTAGCAGCCACAATATTACAAAAATAAAGTAAACCAGAATGAAGCACAACAGAAAAAAATAATTCCTGCTGACTCACTCTGACTAGGAACACATAATGTTCACTAGAAATGTTAAATGGACCAGCACCACCATTTTTCCATCACCAATTATCACAAAAATCAATCACAGGACCTATTCCTAGGAGATCATTGCATTTATACAGAAATATGTGCAATGTGTAGATGTCAAGTTAACATCTTGAATTTAGTTCCAAGATACTATTTTTCCTTTCCTCTGGGAGACAAGTTCAACGGCAAGGTAGGATAGTGAAGACCATGGAACACCAAACACATGACTGGCCCAAACCCCTCCCAGGTGGTTGTAAAACACAAGAAAAAAAGAAAGTTGAATAGTGGAGCTGACAATACAACAGCCACTAGCCACATATGGCTATTTACATTTTAATTATTTAAAATTAAATAAAATTAAAATTTACTTCCTCAGTCACACTAGCCACATTTCGAGTGTTCACCAGTTACACATGGCTAATGGCTACCATAATGGACAGTGCAAATATAGAACATTTCTGTCATCACAGAAAGTTTTTTTGGACAGCCTTGGATGTGGGAAGTGTTTCTTCTCCCTTTGCTTAGGCAGGATGTAGGCTGATTACGGAAGCAGCTTTGAGAAGTAAGTCTTCTCTCAGGATATTCCTAGATTGGTGGTGGAGTCACAGAAGGGAGTAAAGTAGCCTTTCTTTACATAGATTACCTTCTCCTATATATGAAAGAGATGATCCTTTTCTGAGGATCAAACAAAAACTAGACTCCACCAAAAATCTGTAAGGAAAATTAGAGATACATGAAGCAGATGGGAAAGCAGCAAGGTAGAACATTCTTTATCCCATTCCAAACCTCCATAGATTATGTCCACTAAGGAAGCGGACAGGTTCCCAGGGTCCTCTAGAAAATCCTGACGCCAGCCAAGCCATTGGTTGATTGCAAAAGCCAGTCCTGGCAGGTGTTTCATGAAAAAAAACTAGCACGTCTTCACTCTTCAAACTACTGTCTGAGCAGAGCAGTGTTGCTTGGAGTATTGTTAGCTGTGAAGGAGTTGCAGTTTTGATCTATTTGAACATTATGCTCCCTTACAGCTGTATTTTGTAGCCAGAGCACAGACTGCTACTTTGTTTCCCAAAGATCCACCATCATTGTTTTCCTTCGATTTCCTCGGATTTTTTTGTTGAAAGCTGTTAATATGTCCAGCTACAGAAACTACATTTCTCATGCAACCTTGCAGATATGACACAGTCTGGCCAATGAGATGTAAGTAAAAGTTGCTGGGCTGCTGAGAAAGCTCTTTAAAAGGAAGCTGACTCAAAATGGTGTGCCCCGTTTTCTCTTTCAGCTTCCTTCATCTTCTTGGGGGAGCTGCAGCAACCATCTTGGGACCTAAGGGAAAAGCCAAGGGAACCTCAGGGACCACCTTGACCCTGCCATCTGTGAGCTGCTGAACCAATACCAGGAATAGTTTACTCCCAATCTCCTTGTCACATGAGAATGAAACAAAACCCCTACTTTGTTTAAGCTACCATTGAGTCCAATAACTTCCTACTCTATTACTGAGACAGCAATCCATCTTGATTCCCAATAGGAAAGCAAGATTTCCATCTTAAAGTAAAAACAAAACAAAACCAACCAACCAAACAAACAAACAAAAAAACAAGGGGCACTTTGGTGGCTCAGTCCGTTAAGGGTCTGACTTTGGGTCAGGTCATGATCTAGGTTTGTGAGTTCAAGCCCTGCTTTAGGCTCTGTGCTGACAGCTCAGAGCCTGGAACCTGCTTCAGATTCTGTGTCTCTGTCTCTCTCTGCCCCTTCTCTGTTCACTCTCTCTCTCTCTCTCTCTCTTTCAAAAATAAATAAACAGTAAACAATTTTTTAAAAAAACTTGCCAGAAGGATATATATATATCTAACAAAGTTCAAGTAACTTCATAGAGTCATACTAAAAAAACCAAAATTTAAGTATAAAAATTTAAACTTCAAGGTGTCTGGATGGCTCAGTGGGTTGATCATCAGACTTCGGCTCAGGTCATGATCTCACAGCTCGTGGGTTCCATTCCTACATTGTACTTTGCACTGATGGCATGAAGCCTGCTTTCCATTTTCCGTCTCCCTCTCTTTTTGCCCCTTGCCCACGTGTGCTCTCTCTCAAAAATAAACACTAAAAATTTTTTTTTTTTAATTTTAATTTCAACCTACCCACATCTACACAGCACAACAGTGGAAGAAATGATTAGGCTTATTACATAAAATAGCCGCTATTAAGGAAAACAAGAGGATTTTTAGCTGAATTCATCAGGAAGTTTTTCTGAGTGCCTATTATATTGTGACCACCGTTCTAAACACAGGTCGGCCCTACTGATCACCCAAGTTCTTATGTGGTAAAATGCTAACTACTCGGATAATTAATCAGATTATTATTTAATCTGTGGCTTTATTGTGTAAACAAAGTAAGAAATGTAGAGTTGATGATTTATTTCACTGACTCAAAACAAAAACAAATAACAAAAATCAACTTCCAATATCTGCAACTCAATCTTTAATTCCCCTTGTTAGTGACACAGAAACCTGAGAGTGATTTCCTAATGATCTCAGAGTTTTATTTGTGGTATTAGCTAAAATAAGTACACCTGCCCCAGAGTAGCTATAAAAATTAAAACCAAAGTCCAGTACTCTGTATATACATTCTATGTACTGCACTAGTACCATTAGTATTCTAAACGTCCCTAGATTAGTAGGTATGAGTTAGAAAAAGTAAACATTTACCACTATCCTAAATGGTTAACTATATATAATGTTTAAATATGGGGCCATTAAAAAAATTTAGTTCTTTTGCACTTATTTTGAAACTATAAACAAAATTGGAAATATGAAATGTCAAGCTATAAATGAGGATATTGCATGTAAAACAACTCACCTAGTTCCAAGTTTCCACCCCTGCAAGTGAACCAAAAACAAATCCTGGCAACTTGTCATTCCCAGAAAAGCCAGTGCATGGCACACTCTGGGTAAATTTTCTCTCTTATTCTGTGGAACTGCACCAGATGGCAACAGTCCTGCATCTACAGCTGTGCCCTAAAATTGAAGTTCAGACATAGGAATCTACTTTATTAGACATTTTAGGTTTTGCAGTTGTGAGTGTGATGTCATTCTCATTCAACTTAAAAATGGCTATCTTTCCAAGTGCAACTGCTGATTTATTGCATTGACAGGTTTGGAAATCAGTGAAACAATCAAGATTATTTATCCTAATAAAATTTGAAGTCATTTTAAACAACTGAAATTTAGGCACAATGAAATAAGAACACCTGACATAAAATATGAATATTTCTTACTAAATAAATGATGGCTCATTTCCTGATAATGTAAGAAATTCAACTCAGCTTCTCACATTGCTGAAGAGTCGCTAAATACCTTCTATTTGAAATAAAACATAAGAATCTTCTATAATCAAGTTACATTTTAGTAATGAGCAGTTATTTTAAATGTTCCTTATTTTTCAAATGTTTTAATGTGCACCTATATGCATACCATCTTTGAAAATCAATGTGGTACAGTGGAAGGATCAGAATGTGGTCAGCAGATGGGGCAGCCAACATGCACAAACTGGGAACCTAGACCATTGTGGCTGTCAGAGCAGTAGATCAAGAATACATACAGAGAGAAAAAAATAAGTGAGTTCAGAAATAGTTTTAATTTGGGAGATTAGTCTTTGTTGAGTTTTAGAAAAATGACGATTGAATAAATGAATAGAAAAAGACAGTTTGAGTACATGTGTCAAAGTTTCAAAAGCAGAGTGCCTAACCAAGCAGGGGTGAGGCAGGAGATCAACAGCAGCAAGTTCTGAGAGCAAATGTGAGGCAGCTTACTTCCCAGAGTTTAGGGCCACATTCCAGGCAGGCAGTGATTGAGTAACTGGAATAAATAGCGGTTTTATTTTTTTGGCCTAGACAAATGGCAACGTAGCAACTAATAATTAGATTACAAGGAGAGTATAAAGTGGCACTGGGCACAAGATAGAAAACTAACCATTCCTTTCATGTCCTTTCAAACAAAGTCAGTAGAGCCAAAACCCAGGTTAATACTGGGATGGCAGCAAACTACTCACCCTGAGTTCTCCAAAGTCTCCTCTCTACAAGAGTCAGGGCTGGTTCACACCTCTGGACTCCAGTGGCACTGCTAGAAAGATTAAAGGATTACAACATCAAGAAGTCAAGGAGGTGGTTACAATAATTTGCACTCCGGTTATTAATAAAGTACAAAGTGACTGTTTTCCGCCCTTGTAAACAACTATAATGACTAATTAACTACTCCTACACTCATCTTCAATGTCCATATTAACCATATAACCCTATAGTTAAATGCCACTGCCAAAGTGTCAACCGATTAGAGAGCTATTGTTTAAAATACAAGAGAGAGTCACTGCAGTTGATTCTGAGATTCAAACTGGAAATTCAAATCAAGTCGTATGATGGCTCTGGTAAAGAGAAGGATGGATAGATAGAATTATATATATTTACATATAGAGAGAAATATGTGTGTATATATACACATACATACACACACATACATACATATACACACACCTATATTTCATTAACAACAGGTCTGTTTTAGCAAAATGAGATAGAAATGTGGGAAAATATCTGAATGTCTCAGCCAAAAAAAAATTCCCCATAATTATGTTTACCTACATGAGACTATTTTTCTTTCTCTTGAATTATCAAAATAATTGTCCTCTACTTCACTTTCATATTATCAACTTAGGAAAAACTTGGCATTTGGTTTTTTTATATCCTCTCTACATGGTTTGTATACCTCAAATTAATAAATATTTTCAAAATTCAGTCATGACATAGACAGCTTATCCCACCTTAATATAACTGACCCATATTTTCCCTTATTGAAGACAAATAATACCTGCATTACATATTTCAACTCCAAGACCCACTGCACTGTTTGCCAAAAGAGTAGAATGATTATTAAAATTGCAAACACTCTTCACATTCCATTCTAATTTCTATGCTCCTCTACATACACACTGATTCTTGCACTGAGTTAGGAATCAGTTTGGCTGCTCAGTTCTAGCAGAAGTTCATCAGTTCTAAGGGGGAGAAGAAGGGCGGAAATGGTGGGGGAAAGGGAGAGAGGCAAACCATGAGAGACTCTTGAATGCTGACAAAAACTGAGGACTGATGGATGTGGGAGGGAGGGGGGTTGGGCATGGAGGAGGACACTTGTGGGGATGAGCACTGAGTGTTATGTGGAAACTAATTTGACAATAAACTATTTGTAAAAAAAAAAAAAAAAAAGAAGTTCATCAGTTCTAAGTGGGAGAGGGTCCTTTCATTGCACCCATTTCTTCGATCCTAACCTTTCACTGTTTCAGGCCCTGGGTCTTCAGAGGTTTAGCTATACCCAGGGGCAAAGTGTTATCTAGGGCGGCCCCCTCTTACCATTGGAAGAAAACGTCCATCTCAGGTTGTTCAGGTCCCCTCTGTGAAGGGTTTCCCATTACCAGCTGGAACTGCAGTTGCGGTCCTCAGCACACCAACCCCGAGCAGCAGCTTGACTCCAGAACTCGAGACGACATAAACTGAGGCAGAAGCATCTGGAAGATGAAACTGTTATTTCCCCAAACTGACGTTGCCCTGGAGGGTGCTTAGGGCACGTCAATGAGAAGTTTATTGCTGCCCGTCAATCTTCTCGCAAATGGTCTAGTCATGTAATCTAAAAAGACACCCTTGCTCCTCTGGTCCTCTTTTTCCTGTTGCCCTAAAACGTGTAAACAGTACCTCTTTTCACCTGCCCAGCCCTTCGGAGCAACCCCAAGTCATTTCCCAAATGACTACTAACGCTCACCGTCCCGCTGTTCCAGAGCCTAAACCCACCCGGTATGGCAACTCTGCAGGCATCAACGGGGTCGGTGGCTAGAAGAGGAGGAAGGATTAAGGGGGAGATGGGCCACTGTTGGACGAACCCCATTTAGCCTCTACCAGAGCGTAAAGATATTTAAAGCAGTATTCGACATACTTCAAGTGCCACTGTTTCCTCCAGCTTCCTGTCCCAAAGCCTACACTCTAAATAATTTGGACATTTAGGTTGGCACTTGATTTCTGGAATCAAATTTGGTATGGAAGTGGTTGGACTGAATTATCTGAATGGTTTGGTTTTCGATCCTTTCCGTACAAGCTCAAATGCAGTGGAACTGGGAAGAAGAGCTTGCAGGTGCCCAAAGCCAAGCCGACTCCACAGGCTGAACGTCTCTCTTTCTTCCTCTCTCAGCCCCCTCCCCCGGAAAAGCTGAGGGTCCATTCCTAAGAGCACAGCGCTAGCCCAGACCCCAAACACCCACCGTGCCAGGCAACCGAGCGTGCCTGAAGCCCCCAGCTCCCCCAAGGGGCGGAGAAACTCGCCCCTCCGCAGGCCCCTTTGACCCCCGAACGAACCTGTCAGCGCTACCACCGAGCCTCGCACTGGAACCTGGGTGGCCACGCGGACAGACAGTCGATGCTGAGACCCTGCTTGGCGCCCGCGCAGCTCCGTGCCTTCCTGCTAGTGCCCGCGCCTTACGGGTCACACCGCTTGCTCTCGGGAGAAGCCCCAAGGCTCCCGGTGCACTGAGAGACGCCCGGGCTGCAGCGCCCCGGCTGTGCTGGCCACAGAGTTCTTCAGCTGCTTGATGACCACGAAGAGCAGGAGGAAAAGTAAGAAGAGCAGAAAGAAAAAGAGTGCCAGGTAGAGCAGAAAGTTGAGCTCCCACTCCATGCTGGAGGCGCCGGCGCCCGGTGGCTGTGCGCGCTAGGCGCGGAGAGCAGCTGGCGGACAAGGCTTGCCACCCGTTCTCCCACCTCCGAGTCTCCTCCGCCCCCTTACGGGAGCCCGGCTTTGGGCGCCTACTTCGCGGTCCTTGATCGGCCTCTCCCAGTTCAGAGGAAAAGCGCCAAGGAGCTGGTTAATCCCGGCTCCGCCTCTCCCAGCAGGCACAAGAGCCTCCCGCCTCGCAGAGATCCTCTCCTGCGCTCTTAGGGACGTGAGCGGATTTTTCTAGGAGCAAATTTAGCGGGTGAGGACGCCAGGAGAAGAGGTCATAGCTCAGTCTCCCAAGGGGTGATGTGGCTGCTGTTTTGCAAATGATCTTAAGATACCCATCCCCAACATCCAATGGGTCCCTTAGCCCCCTCCCTTCCTAACTGATTTATTTCTGGATATTTTCCCCTGTCCTGGTTTTCCCGGTGGGAAAAGGTGCCATGGCCCAGAAACCCAAAAGAATTAAAGGTAGTAGTGAAGGTGGAGCGTAAAGGGCTATAAGATGACTTCCTTCTGTGGGATGACTTAATGGTACCTGAGTGAATTCTAGTTCAACCTGCTTTGCTCTTCAGAGTCTCACATGCACTCAGTACAGAGTGCTCTTTTCTATGGACAACAACAGGTCATTTAGAAAAGCAGTAAGAACAGGGGCGCCTGGTTGGCTCAGTCAGTTATGCCTCCGACTTGTGCTTAGGTCATGATCTCATGGTTCCTGAGTTGGAGTCCTATGCTGGGCTCTGTGCTGACAGCTCAGAGCCTGAAGTCGGCTTGGGATTCTGTGTCTCCCTCTCTCTATGCCCCTCCCCCACTCACACTGTGTCTTTTTTTCTCTCTCTCTCTCTCTCAAAAATAAACATTGTAAACACACACAAAAAAGGAGTAACTGGCTCAGTAGGAGAGCCTGAAACTCAAGAAAGAAAGAAAGAAGGAAAGAAAGAAAGAAAGAAAGAAAGAAAGAAAGGGAAAAAGAAAGAAAAGAATTAAGAACAGAATGCATTTCAAAAGTTATATCATACAAAGCTTATCAGAATGTTGACTTGAAATTGAATTTCCTTGGTGGAAAGCAAAAAGAATACAACAATAAACAATCACTTGAAATGTTCCTTTAAGTCCCTAACACTTACTGTATTTGATTAAGATCACCCATAGTCTGTATGGTACAGCTTTTCGTTTTAAGTTTTAATTAAAAAATTTTTCTTAATGTTTATTTTTGGGAGACAGAGTGTGAGCAGGGTAGGGACAGAGAGACACACAGAATCCCAAGCAGGCTCCAGGCTCTGAGCTGTTAGCACAGAGCCTGACATGGGGCTTGAATCCACAAACCCGTGAGCTCATGACCTGAGCCGAAGTTGGTGCTAAACCGAATGAGCCACCGAGATGCCCCTTTTTAAAAATTTTTAAATTATTATGTTTATTTATTTTGAGAGCAAGAGAGAAAGAGAGAGTGTGAGAATGTGAGTGGGTGAAGGGCAGAGAGAGAGGAAGACACAGAATCCAAAGTAGGCTCCAGGCTCTGAGCTATCAACACAGAGCTTGACATGAGGCTCAAACCCACAGACGGTGAGATCATGACCTGAGCCAAAGTTGGATGCTTAACCGATTGAGCCACCCAGGAGCCTCTGTATGGTGCAACTTTTAAAGAAATCCAGTTTATCCAGTGCTGTGTAACAAATTACCCCAAAGCCCAGGAGCTTAAGACAACGCAAACATTGGTTATCTCTAATAGTTTCTGTGAGTCAAGAGTTTGGTAACACTTAGCTTGGTGATCCTGGCCTGGAGTTTCTCATGAGGTTATGGTTGGATGTCAGGCAAGGCAACAGTCACCTGCAGGCTTGTCTTGAACTAGAGGATCCACATCCAAGATAGCTCACTTTTATGGCTAAGATAGTGCTGGCTGTTGGTGAGAGGCCTCAGCTGTTTCCCATGTAGACTTCTCCACAAGCCTGCTTGTGTGCCTTTACACCACTGTCTTGGCTTCTCTCAGAGCAAGTGGCCCAAGAGAACAAGGCAGAAGCTGCAGCACTCTTTGCAGCTAGCTTAGGAAGTCGTATACAACACTTCTTCAGTGTCCCATTAGTCACACAGGTCAACCTCACAGTGAAGGAGTCCAAGGACACGAACACCAGGGGTAAGGATCATCAGGAGCCATCTTGGAGTCTGGCCATCAAAGCTGCTAATGCAACATGTTATCATTGTCCATTCTGTGGGCCTCCTACTTATTTCATTTTTTATTGGTGAAGATATAGGAGAGCCTCCTGGGCTGAATTCAGGGAATAAGTCTTGACATACACATTCCAGATTATGTAATAGTCTGCCTGGAATAAATGGCCATTCCAGGGATGGCAAGGGGTTCAGAGAAACAGGGTGGTATGGAAAAATCTGTGAACTGGAAGTCTCAAGGACCCAAATCTAGTTTCTACTCCACCTGTCAGGGTCACTTCAGTTCTCTGATTGAGTCCCTTCACCTACAATATTCCTTGCTTACCTATCCCTTGGGGTTGTTGTAAGGATAAAAAATGAATTAGGATGTTGATTAAGAATGTGTTTTGCTAAAAATGAACTATTGGGACCTCATCAAGATTACAAGCTTCTGCATGACAAAGGAAACAATCCATAAAACTAATAGGCAACCAACGGAATGGGAAAAGATAGTTGCAAATGACATATCAGATAAAGGACTAGTATCCAAAATCTATAAGGAACTCCCCAAACTCCACTCCTGAAAAACAAACAACTCAGTGAAGAAATGGGCAGAAGACACTTCTCCAAAGAGGACATCCAGATGGCCAAAGACACATGAAATGATGCTCAGCATCCCTCCTGATCAGGGAAATACAAATCAAAACCACACTGAGATACCACCTCACCCTGCTCAGAGTGGCTAAAATGAGCAAATCAGAGGACTCTAGATGCTGGTGAGGATGAGAAGAAATGCGCACCCTCCTACACTGTTGGTGGGAATGTAAACTGGTACAGCCCCTCTGGAAAACAGTGTGTAGGTTCCTCAAAAAATTAACACTAGAACTCCCCTAGGACCCAGCAATAGCACTGCTAGGAATTTACCCAAGGGATATAGAAATGCTGATGCATAGGAGCACATGTATCCCAATGTTCATAGCAGCACTCTCAACAACAGCCAAAACATGGAAAGAGCCTACGTGTCCATCAACTGATGAATGGATCAAGAAGATGTGGTTTATCTATACCATGGAATACTACATAGCAATGAGAAAGAATGAAATCTGGCCATGTGTAGCAACATGGATGGACCTTGAGGGTGTTATGCTGAGTGAAATAAGTCAGGCAGAGAAGGACAGATACCATATGTTTGCATGTATAGGAGGATTAGGGGAGCTTAACAGAGGACCATGGGGGAGAAGAAGGGGGAAAATAGTGGGGGAGAGGGAGAGAGGCAAACCATGAGAGACACTTGAATGCCGAGAACAAACTGAGGGCTGATGGCGGGGGCGGGGGGGGGGCGGGGAAGGGAGGTGATGGGCATGGAGGAGGGCACTTGTGGGGATGAACACTGGGTATTATATGGAAACCAACTTGACAATAAACTATTTAAAAGAAAAAAGAATGTGTTTCACTAAATAAATGTCAGATACTATTATTAATCTGTTACTGAGGATTCCCAGTGTACAAAAATGTACTGTACAAATTTCCAGGTCCTAGGCCTCTCACCAAGCATTGTACTGTGTAAGAAATCTCTCAATTATTGATTAATCTCTTAGCCAGTGGTGTGCTGACTCCTAAAATTATTTGGAAATATTTTGCCAACCATTTGTTAAGATACAGCTATTGTAAAAAATTATATCATATAAGGGTGTCTGGTTGGCTCAGTTAAGCTTCAACTTCTTGATTTCAGCTTGGGTCATGATCTCATGGTTACTGGGTTCAAGCCCTGAATTGGGCACTGCACTGAAAGTGCAGAGCCTGCTTGGAATTCTCTTTCTCCCTCCCTCTCTCTCTGCCCCTTCCCTATTCACGCTTTCCTCCCTCTCTTCAAATAAATAAAGAATAAACATTTTAAAAATCATATAAACTTAAATTATGTTATATGACTTCACTCATATGAGGACTTTAAGATACAAAACACATGAACATAAGGGAAGGGAAGCAGAAATAATATAAAAACAGGGAGGGGGACAAAACATAAGAGACTCTCAGGTATGGAGAAGAAACAGAGGGTTACGGCAGGGGTAGTGGGAGGGGGCATTAAGGAATCTACTGAAATCATTGTTGCACTATATGCTAACTAACTTGGATGTAAATTTAAAAAATAATTTAAAAAATTATGTTAACAGCAAAGGTAATACATATAAATAGTTACAAATGAAAACTCATTACTTTTGAATTATTTTATTACATTTCACTATTTTCTATGCACTTGAGGTTATTTATATCTGTTGTAGCTGTATGGCTGAAATATTATATAATAGTATATTATTGTACATTTCTTTTCAGCTGTGTTCAGATGTCATGTGGGTAGCCTGAAATTGGCCACAGTGGGAGTGTTTGCCTTTGGAAATGTACAGATGTTACAAATCAGGGCCAGAGAGCAGTTGTTAAACACTTACCACAATGCTATGGCTCATGGAGCTACTGAGGAAAATTTGAAGTCTTATATAAGTAAAGCAGAGATTTGTGATTTTTGTGACAACCTAGAAGCATCACATGTTCCTACTGGTAGAATACTCCATTTTATCTAGTCTTGACAGGAGGACAGATTCTAATGACTTCTTTCCACTGCCACCTCCCATTATGGAAACCAAGCGGGCAGATACATCTTTTACCCACTCCTGATACAATGCAGGGAGAAGGGGAGAAAGAGCCATGCCAGAAACTCAGCCAAATACCCTCAATTCTAGGACTCTGAAGTTTGGGAGCAGTCAGAACAGGAGGAAATGTTTGGAGGTCAGATGCATCCCTGTGGCAGAGAAATTCCGAGACCCAGACCAGTCCCGGGAGTGACCTGGGTGTGGTTCTCATGGCCGCCTCCATGACATCCTTGACTCCTGCTCTTTCCCTAAACTTGACACTCCTACCTCTCTTCCATTCTGTGAGCTGCCACTGGTTTCCCATTAGATCTCC